AATGTTAAGTTGTTTATTTTTGTAATTTAAATTTTATTTCTGAATCACTGTTACAGTCAAAACTAAGCAGCCAGGGGACAGCTCAGTCCGAAGATATACAGTAATGTAATGGGGTACAGGTGGAATTTTTTACAAAACAAGACAATCCATTCACTCACCATTCACACAAGTACAAGATTTTTTTTAATTATCAAACATATTAATAATATAATTAATTCAGTCGCTGAATAAGCCATGATTTAAGAGCCATTTCAAATAAAATTTGGCGTTACAGCTTTTGTTAAAGAAAATACATTTTTCAATACTATATCTCAATCTCAACTCACTTCTGAACTGAGCAATATTTGGTAAAACAGATTTGAGCTTGCATTTGTACAAATAATATTTTCCCAATAATATGAACAAGTCAAATAAAACAGTAAAAACATTTTTCTTACAGCCAAAAATGATCAGTTCCATAGTGAGATTGAGATCATGGATGTGGTCACAACCTTCTGTTAACCATGATAAAAATGTTGACCAAAAGGTTTGCACAAATTCACATTCCCATAATAAGTGACAAATAGATTCCGTTTCTTCATTACAGAATGGTCATAAGTCAGAATCTTTTATTTTAACTTTTTTAAGAAATGTATTGGTAGTTAAAATTCTATGGAGTATCCTGTACTGGAACCATCTCAATTTGGTGTCTTGTGTTGATTTAAACGATTTTAGGAACATACAGTTCCAGTCAAGACCACACTGAAAATCCTCTTGCCACTTTAACTGTGCTCTTGCGGTCCTTATTGAAGAACAAAGGATATAGTAATAGGCTTTGGAGCCTTTATTAATTGAAAGTAACAACCGAGTAATTGGTGGGTTATCTCCCATTTGACAGACACCCAATTGACAGACACTGAACTAGAAGGTTAATTAGGGTAACACCTATGGGTATAATAGAACAGTCCACTTTCTAGTGAGTAGAGCAGGGTGAGCCTGAAACAGGTTCGTTACTGAGAAGTTTGATTGTGTGTAAATAACTAGAACTTTGTTGTGATTAAATGATAAATGATTTCTCTTCTCAAAATTGATTTTACTATCAATTACTATCGAATATAAAAACAGGTTTGTCACTGAGAGATTTGATTGTGTTTATTGTTAGAAAAGACCCCTCCCAATAATAGCATATGTACAACCGAAGTTAACTGAGAAAATGTTTTGTTGGAGAGATATAGATATGTACATATTTGAAAACATTCTGATTTGCAGTAAATGAGACACCTGTATTGCCATGTAAGATACGATTAATACCAATCAGTGTTCTAATTTCAACAATACTTTCTAAAGATTGTAACAGTTTATGTCTTTGAGTAGTATACAATGGACATTCAAGGAAGTAATGAAAAACATTCTCACATCCATGGCCACTATTGACATGATGCGTCATATTTTAAATATTTATTCTAAATAAATCGTAATTAAGTGCACTCGTCATATATCTTAATATTGTGTGCAAAACATATAACTTCTTTATTCCATATGAATAATATTTAGGTTCACATTTGTCTTCATTTGATTTATATGATACAACAGTGTCGCAATTTCTAATAGCTAAGCTAATGTTTTCAATATGATGATGCCGACTCCCGTTAGACTAGAAGGTTAAACCGAAATGATTATGAAAATAAACTGTTTTTATATTGCAGCAATAAAAATTCAAATTACTGTCTTTTCGTCCATCTTTCAAAATAAATAATATAGCTTCAGTTTGTTCCTGTGTTTTGATTTGGACTATTCCATTATAATGTGTAGGTAACAGGTAGTAGATAATCTATTCACTGAACCGTAAATGTTGTTGTTTTAAGGTGTCTGCGAAGTGGCTGATTGCGTAATGGGAGGACACCAATTGGTGTATTTCCTGCACATTGTCCAGTGTTTTCTTTCACAATTGACAAGCCAGCAAAATATTTTCTTATAGAGCTAATGACACCATAGTATTCTAAAAAAGATACATTCAATTGATACCTTTCATTAAAATCAACCACAGACAGATAACTGCCATTTTCATCAACAAGATCACAAATTTGAGAGATACCCCTTTGAAACCACCTTTCATAAAATATAGTTTTCTTATCAATAACAATATTGCTATTATAAAATATATGATCAGAAAAGAAATCTTCAAAATTATCAGGTTTAATTTTACTTGAATAATTATAAAAAGCATTGAAACAATCAATCCAGAAGGGATTTTTCAGATTTCTGACAAGTTTTTTCAAAAATTCTTTGTCATGCTCATTAAATTCACTACATTTACAATAACTAGCATTTAAAATATATTTCCACTTAGGATCTTTAGTAACTAGTTTTCTCATCCAAGTAACCTTCAAGGCTTTGACATATTCAAATATATTAATCATACCCAATCCACCCTCCTTAACTGGTCTACATATTGTTTCTCTCTTTATGATGAATCTTAAGTTGGTTTATTTTGAATGCATTAAATCCAATGTAATGGCAGGGATTTACAGGATGCGAATTCCTGCTTCCTGTACACATAAAATTGACAATGGACACAACAAAATTTATTAGCGCATCCACAGGGACGCAGAAAAAGTCAAAATACTTTCTGTAAAAATTCCAGTCAAGTAAAAATAAGTTATAACTGAGTTTGCAACTAGCTGGGTTATGGTATCATTTGCAATTCAATTACTGTAACAATGCGATGATCATGATGCACAAGACAATACAGTACTAATATTTATCTAAGTGTCTCGACCCCCATCTTGTTGTCCAGGACCCCTGAAATTTAAGAGTGTGAGTCCCAGGGACCCTCAAAACAGGACTCAAGGTATATCCCTGTAATGGTATCAAACGTTTCCATTGTTATTAAAGTAGGAAACAGTAATTGCTAGTTATAAACAACTGATGTTAACAATATCCTGTGATGTCTGCATTGGCTACGCTATTTAGTTTCCTTGTGTACAACAACGGCCTGGAGTTGGCAAGATTGATGACATAGTATGGTTCTCCATCAGATAAAACTTAACAACCACCGCTTATGGAATTGGAGTTGTACAACAATGTGATATTGTTCAAGAAGCAACACTAGACAACAGCATTTTGATATATAGAGAATCTCACCCGAGTGTCTTTTGATATCAAATATATCACCACGAGTTGATAAAGTAACAAATATCCGACGCTTGCCGAGGATATTTTTTACTTTTATCAACGAGTGTTGATATATTTGATATCAGAAGACACGAGGGTGAGATTCTATTTATCATCAAAAATCACTCTTCATTAGTTTTCAATGAAAAATGTACATCTCTGAACACAGTACTGCCATTAGATTTGCAGTGCAGCGATGTCATAACATTGTGACAACAAGTTCATGACGTCATAACATTGTCAGGGCATTGTACAAAATCTACTGTCAAAACGATATCTCCTAGGAGATATCGTTTGATCTCACACAAGCGATATCTCCTGTGGAACACAGTTTTGGATGATATAACATTTTGGCAACACAGCACTTTAGTCCATGAGACAAAACTAAAGAACTGCGGCGTGTAGAAATAGTGAGAGTGAGTTTAGTTTTAAGCTGCTTTCAGCAATATTGTGGCAGGGAACACCAGAAATGGCCTTCACACATTATACCCACTTTGGGAATCAAACCTGAGTCTTCGGTGACGAGAGAATGCTTTAACCACTAGGCTACCCCACCGGCCCACCTGTGGAATTAACGTGTATAACATTGTGATATTGTTTAAGAAACAACACTATACAAAGGGCATGTTAATAACATCCCACTCAGGCAACATAGTAATGTTGTTCATAAACATAACATAAAAACAACAAATGTACAACACTGTGATGTTGTTTATTCAACACGCTGTTACTAAGGCCTCGGGATATTACAGGCATATGAAACATTAAAGTTATTCATCGAACACCCCCGACTGCATTGCTAACTGACACAAAACTGATGACCTATCCTAAACCTACCCTGACCTACCCTGAAGGAACCCGTCAACAACAGAATGTTACCAAGCTGCCATGAAGACATCTACAGCATGTAGTCATGCTGGCACTACCAGGGGCAGTAACATTACTTCCTGGTCCCAGCTAAATGTGGGCCAGATCTATTGTGTGCTGTTAGTCACAACGAGGGTAGAGTGAACTCACAGCTCAGCTCATTATTATCAAATTGGGGGAAAACATTAAGTAGTCATCACATATTTTCACCCGTTTCAGAAGAGAATGACTAGTGGACATATGTAACTTGCATCATTGGAATCGTATTTTGTAAAGTCATGTTCCAAGGACTAGTGGAAACTTTATCTTACTAGTCCTCAGATGTTGCTTGAATGAAACAGACTATTTACTATGCTTCAATTTTTCTCAGTTTTATCCAGTTACAATTTCAAGCAAAACAGTGAGTGAGTGGGTTTAGTTTTATGCCGCTTTTAGCAATATTCCAACAACATCACGGTGGGACACCAGAAATGGGCTTCACACATTATATCCACGTGGGGAATCGAACCCGGGTCTTCGGCGTGACAAGTGAATGCTTTAACCATTAGGCTACCCCACCGCCCCTAAAGCAAAACAGAAGTACAGAACTCAAACATCAAATACCTGAGGATGATTATCAAGGAATTTGTACATGTCCTCTACACATGGTCTTGTGCTAGCAAACTAGAGTGAATTCTAAAGAATCTACAATGATGTTGTGGTACATTTAATATGTATAAGATCATTTTTCCTGTAACTATTAATTCACCATATGACACGACATGGTATTTTTATCCTGATCTGAAGTTCAACATCCTGCTGTTTTGAAGTGATGATATTCTCCAAAGAGTCTAACATTATTCACATAATACCTTCCGGGTCTCCTTGAACTGTTGTGTGTTCTATGTGTAGTACATCAGCTCTTCAGTGTTCATGAAGCTTCATCATCTTTCATGATGCTTTGAGATCTAGTTACTAACCATCCAATCAAACTTTAGGATATGGTTTCAGTGAAAGGGACACATGCAAGGGAACCCAGCGAGGACACCTGCAAGAGCGACACCAGTGAGGACCCCAGCAAGAGAGACACCTGCAAGAGGGACACCAGCAAGAGAGACACCTGCAAGAGGGACACCAGCAAGAGGGACCCCACACCAAGCAAGAGGGACACCTGCAAGAGGACACCTGCAAAGAGGGACCCCAGCAAGAGGGACCCCAGCAGAGGGAACCAGCAAGAGGGACCCCAGCAAGAGGGGGAGGGACCCCAGAAAGAGGGACACTTTAAAGCAAGAGGGACCCCACCTGCAAGAGGGACACCAGCAAGAGGGACCCCAGTGAGAGGGACCCCCCAGCAGAGGGACACCTGCAAGAGCGATGACACCAGCAAGAGGGACCCCAGCAAGAGGGACACCTGCAAGAGGGACACCAGTGCAAGAGGGACACCTGCAAGAAAGATGGACCCCAGCAGAGAGGGACACCTGCAAGAGGGACCCCAGCCAGAGGGACCCCAGCAAGAGGGACACCTGCAAGAGGGACACCAGCAAGAGGGACACCATCAGCAGGACATCATCTTCAAGAGATCTAGTTACTAACCATCAATCAAACTTTGAGGATATGGTTTCAGCATAAAAGGGACACATGCAAAGGAACCCAAGAGGGACACCTGCAAGAGGCTGACACCAGCAAGAGGACACCCAGAGGGAAGAGGGAGACACCTGCAAGAGGGACACCCTGACAAAGAGGGACCCCAGCAAGAGGGACACCCTGCCAGCAAGAGGGACACCCAAGAGGGACACCAGCTAGAGGGACCCCAGAAAGATGGACCCCAACGAGAGGGACACCTGCAAGAGGGACACCAGCCAGAGGGACCCAAGCGAGGACACCTGCAAGAGGGACCCCAGCAAGAGGGACACCTGCAAGAGCGATGCCAGCAAGAGGGACCCCAGAACATCAGCAAGAGGGACACCTGCAAGAGGGACACCAGCAAGAGGAGGACACCAGTGAGGACCCCAGCAAGAGAGACACCTGCAAGAGGGACACCAGCCAGAGGGACAGGACACCTGCAAGAGGGACCCCAGCAAGAGGGACACCTGCAAGAGCGACACCAGCAAGAGGGACCCCAGCAAGAGGAGGGATGCAAAAGGGACACCCAGCAAGAGGGACACCAGCAAGAGGGACCCCAGCAAGAGAGACACCTGCAAGAGGGACACCAGCAAGAGGACACCTGCAAGAGGGACCCCAGCAAGAGGGACACCTGCAAGAGCGATGCCAGCAAGAGGGACCCCAGAAAGATGGACCCCAGCGAGAGGGACCCCTGCAAGAGGGACCCCAGCAAGAGGGACACCTGCAAGAGGGACCCCAGCAAGAGGGACCCCTGCAAGAGGGACCCAGCAAGAGAGGGACCCCAGCAAGAGGGACCCAGCAAGCAAGAGGGACACCATCAAGCGGGACCCCAGCAAGAGGGACCCCAGCGAGAGGGACACCTGCAAGCGGGACCCCAGAAAGATGGACACCAGCAAGAAGGACCCAAGCGAGAGGGACCCCAGCGAGGGGGACACCTGTAAGGGACCCCAGCACATGAAATCTTTATCAGGTAACAGTAAGTGTCGACACATTTAACAATTTAACCATCAGGAATATACACAATTTCACTGCTTGACACTACAGAGACATGACTGCAAGCCTGCACGCTGGATGGATGCAATTATGGAGGAATGCAGTGTGTCCATATAACAGTGTGAAGTATTGATGTGTGTGTAGATGTTTCTCACTGAGTGGAGCAGGGTTTCAGACATATCAGGACAACACAGTCTGGACCAGACAAACCAGTGACTGAAAGCATGAGGTTCGATTCAAGCCACGGAACATTTCAAGGTATCATACACAATTAGAAGTGTCAGACAGAACAACTGAATGAACAAATATTGTCTTTGACTGCTAACTTTGAACAAAACGTTTTTTTCAGAGGAAACTAACATCTTATCGACATAACATTTAGACATTTTCTTATTTTATAACTATCTCAACTGATAACAGACAAAAACCTGGATAGGTCTTAGCACAATAAAGATTTAGAATTGACAAAACTGACACTTTCAATATGGCCGCATTTCAGGCCATTTTAAATTCCTGGGCCTAGATTTTCGAAGCTCTCTTAGCGCTAAGATAGTCGAAAGTTAATGTTAATGTATGGCACTTACAACTATTTTAGCGTTAAGAGAGCTTCGAAAATCTAGGTCCTGATCAGATGGGACCATCATAAGAGATGATGAATTCTGGGGCTGAATCCCATCAGTAGTCTGATAGGCTGCTGTCACAGAAAGGGTACTTGTCTATCCTACATGCCTCAAAAAGTGACCAGCGCACAATCAGCTTTCAGGGTATAAGATATATAAAACATGTTTGCAGGTGTTACAGGTTTTTGACTACATTGGTAAACCCTGTTGAGCATTTACAAGGTGCTGACAAAGAAAGAACAATAATCAAGGCAAATCTTGAATTTCTCTGTACCTTTACACGATTCTGGAAGCTGAACTAACTCAAAACTGGAACATTCAATGTCAAACAGAGGAAACATCCACAACCATATATAGGAGTCACTAGGGTCAGCTATTTCTAGTATCTGAATCTAGGGACCACAAAATCTCTACCTGGTGAAACTGAGTTGATGACAAGGCCCCTTTCACATTCATGCTTCGTTCAGAGCAGTGGGCAAGGTTGCATATGTATATATGATGTTTCAGAAGAAGAAAAAAAAGGACTGTCGGAAGCAGCAGCATCTGATGTGGCATCCTATGCCCACGAGCAGGATGAAATTGCAGGAAGTCATCATCCAAATGTGAACCCTCAAACACTTCATACTTGATCATTTCCAACAGTTTTTGTCACAAGCATATACCAGTGGGTAGAATTTTACACCACTCTCAGAACTATTCCAGCCACTGATCACTTTGAGCGATGCTGAAAAAGACTTCATACACTGCTGCAATCATGCGGGGAATTAAACCATGTCTACCCCCATCTTCCTTAGATATGTACTGGGTCCACACAATGACAAACACATCACTTATCATCTGCAAGGTGAAAGGGGTAGCCTAGTGGTCAAAGCGTTGGCTCGTCACGCCAAAGACCCAGGTTCGAATCCCCACATGGGTACAATGTGTGAAGCCCATTTCTGGTGTCCCCTGCCGTGATGTTGCTGGAATATTGCTAAAAACGGAGTAAAACCAAACTCAGTCAGTCAGTGAAAGTAGATACTAATGAAAGGCACATCTAATGATCAAGATATTGGGGAATATTTTCTCCTACAAACTATTCATTTCTAAAACAACCTAGTGTTGGGAACTGGTTAAAATCTCATAATTGATGATTGATTCATTACAACCGACCAATCATCAAAAATAATTGGTTAGCGTCATTTAATTTTTTTTTTCGATGTTTGTTAATGCACAAAAAATATAGAAAAACATGCAGTTCTTTCAGGGTTTTTGCAAATTGCACAAAATGCATTTACAAATTTCACATCTTTAAAGGATGACTAGTATGTTAGGAACATAAATTTTCTGGAGTCTTTAAGATCAATTCAATCATGACTTGGAACGTCCTTATAGTGCTTATGAAATGCAACAAACAAAACCAACCTCGTGAAAAATATCGTTATTGCAAACAAGTGTTTGATTATGAGAAAACATGATCAAATACTTGGTGGTTTAGTTATTGCGACCAATCTTCGATTATTTCTATTAATTGGACCACCACTAAAAGAAAAAACCAAAAAATTCCCCTTAAATTAGCCCTTTGATGTTCTTGGTTTGAATTTATGTATGCATGAAAGCCTAGGGTTTTTATATGTCATAATCCTAATATCGAATGTTTGATATTTAGTGATGGAGAAGATGCCAAGGACCAAGGATTTTCTCAAATTTCAAGCGCTGACAACCATTATGAATCTACTTTAGATACTGACGAAGAACCTACTGAAGTCCTGTAACTTGACGTAAAGACAAAGTGTGGAACGAACACCTGGCTCAGATTGTTTTCAGTTTGTCATGACGAAGTTTAAACTCTGACAACACCAATTCATGCTGAAAGAAAAAGATGGTTGCGATAACAGATTTCTTTTATCAGATTTCTGTGGACATAAATTGTGACTCACAGCTTTAGGGAAATAGTTCTGAATAGAGTAGAAAGACATAAACAAAACCATGTAGACACAGGATCCAACAGGTGACATTCGCAGCATTATTCAGACTCAAGAGAAATAGTCCAAACTGAAACACTCCTATTCAAGGGCAGCAACCAGAGAAAAAACCCACAGCAAATAGATTTTCTACAATTAGATTAGGAACGTGGGGTACCCCTTGTTTTAGATGAACCGAGCAACAAGACAAATATAGGAATGTTGTCGGAAATGCAAAGCCTCTGACAACACAGGTTGAATAAACATCTCTCCTCGTCCACATGATCAGTGAACAGTGCTCTCTACCTAGACTAATGCTCAGTCTCTGAAAACAGTTCAGAGAAACAAATAATGCCATTTCAATTGAAATTTCAGTGAGCTAAAAGATTTATACTGAACTTGAGGAAAATCAAGACTTGCTTCATCTACTGCCTTTGCACTGCATAAAGGGTTGGTAAATAATGTGGCTCATGGACTGAGACAGACTACTCTCTCCTACACACAGACTGTACTCAGTCAACAATGTCCGCGTCACACTCTGCTGCTCGTCGACATGGGAAACTTGTCACGTGTTGTGTATTGTTGGGGCTGGCTGACGCATCAGTCCACTGATGTTTGAAGCTGCTGTCTGTTTGAGATCTGTGGCACCTATGATCTGTCTCATACATCAAGACTTTTAATGACTGAACAGCTCATATGGATGCTCACTGTGTGTGGAATCTGGGGGTGGATAGAAACCGAAACTGATCTAAGGCTTGTCACAGATAACACTTTGTACCAAGTACAATGTATCCTGGTTCATCAAAGTGCTGCATTACCCAGGGAAATCTCCTGGTTTCACAATTTACACAATAATAAAGCACATGGAAAAATGTTTCCTTGAACACAAAATATGACTTTAAGTTAACAACTACTGTGATGCAGGGGTTCAAAAGTCCCATTGCCCGACGCCCGGGACAAGTCAGTTTTCATTTCGGGCAATCAAATAATGGTATCTTACTTGTCCGTGGGCTACTAGATAATTCTCACTTATGGTTTCAAACCGCAAATAAACTTGGATTTAATTTCATATCTGCTCAAAATGTAGCTATTACATTTCGCAATGATAATAAAGTAGAGTTATCTTTCTTTGCTATTTATCACTTTTCAATAAATAGTCCAGTAAACATTAACATCAAAATACCATGTTGATTTCTTCGTTCATAATTACATCATCATAATTATGTCATAAAATCAGGGCAAGTGGAAAATTAGTCAGGACAAGTTACTTTCTTAAAGTCACTTGCCCTGTGGCAAGTGGCTTTTTAAAAAAAAAATTGAACCCCTGGTGATGTCCGTTTCATAGATTTTTGTTCAAGCTGTAGTAAGATCAGCTAATAAATGTCATATGATGTAACGCAGATATGTACTGTCAATGATGCTAAGAGCCAAGTTCAAGTTAGACGATGTTTTGTCATCTGGCCAGTAACAAATGTGGTACTTAAATTCTTACAACCCTGGGTCTAGATTTTTGAACGTTCATAGCCCTAAGAAATCTTTACTTTGATCCTAGCCAATGTGTTATGAATTTGCTTAAGAAGTTCATAGGGCTACAAACGTTTCGAAAATCTAGGCCCTGACTCTCAACAGTAACAGCATCCCCATTGCTGGAAGACAAGAGTTTTACCAATAATTCTGTTTCATGCTTTTGTTGTTGTTTTCAAAAACACTCTGCAACATTCCAGCTACTTCATTTGCCATAGTTAATATTCTGAGCAACATTTGACACTGTCATGTTACAAAGACCCGCCATTAACCAAGTCTCACAACATGACCACCTCATTCATTATGTAACCTGTAACCATGGTAACAACAACCATAGGTAGCTAGTACCAACTCTAACCTGGAATCTGTCGGGTCGCTGTTTCATACCTTGAGTCACATTATGACACAGTGACATCAAAAAGTGATTCAGTCCCGGGTCAACTTCCAGTATGTGCTAAAGTTCAAAGTTCTAAATCTGCAATAATTTGGACATGACATGGACACAAAACACATAACCAGTTCACAAACTACAGGAACAAGTGGAGTGTGGGGAAAAGTTTTATCAAATTCATAATAATTGAATAATTTATTAATTTCTCAAGGCCGTAACTTAACCATTGAACAATACTAAAAATACAAGGCTGATGTGTCACATAATGACAAGACCGGAAATTTAACAAATAAACATTAAACCAACAAAATTTCCTGGCTCCAGAATGATTCACGTACGGAACAGAAACAAGTCACCTCAAGCTGTTTAACTTTCAGTATGTTCCGACTGCTGAATTGTTTTCACACTTCTTAACCTCTCTAATGGTTACATTTTAGAATAAAGCACTGCAAAGACGAAAGGTGATTTCA